TAGTAGATATTGTCTTCTTTGGGCTTTTCCTTTCGACCTTCCCCTCAAGTTTTTTTTTAAAACGCGCTTGTTAGGGAGAGGTTTCCACACCCTTATAAAAGGTGTTTCGTTCTCCTCCCAAACTGACGTAGAATATCACACTTCAACGGTTAGTACTTTGACTTTGACTGTCCTATCTCTTTGTTAATAGTTGCAAAACCTTTTATAAAGCTTCATTAAGATTATATCCTAAGGACTAGGAGCAACATTAACCATTATGTTTAATCATTCATTTTGTTTAAGGTTTGAAATCTTGCAGTACTTCTCGATGAGCTGCCAAGCTTTTCAAATGCAGGTATCTTCCAATGATCAACAAGGTTCTTTTCTAAACTAAGTTGAGTATGAATTCCACCTTTTTTTTCCATTAGTTTAACCAGTGTTGCATCCAAACACTAGTCGGTGACAATGTTGTTAGCACAAGGACCTTTGTGATTGATATCACTTGATCTTAACCCTCTAACTTCCATTGTAAAGGCCCCACCCCGTTGCTTTTTATCTTTTGCTTTCGCTGTTGCTACCTATTTGATCTGTAGGACAAGGAAGTTTAGGCTTCCTTGTGGGTTCTAATGCTCTCCCCTATGCTATCTATCTGCAAATAGGAAGGTTAAAGAATGGTATCATGAATTGTGATTTGAACTTGGTTTGAACAGATTCAGAATCTTTACCATTTCTAAATTTAGGTGACTTTGTATGATCATCATAAAGAACTCATTAACTTCTAAAATGTTATTATGAATAAGAGTTTCATTTTGCTGCTTCATAGTGAATTGTTCATTATTAGCTCTTTGCAAAATGATCTTGACAGATCAGGGCTGTGACTACTAGTGTTCAGAACCGACATTTTCGAGCGAAAATACTGGAAGGTTGTAATATTTGATCCCATCATTCTAATTCAAACAGTATTATTATGAAACTTGTCGTCAATTGTACTCTGTTTTCTCAGTAATTGATATGATTTCTTCCTTCTGAAATATATAGGCATCGCATATCAAAGGAAAATTTCAGGGAAAAGTTCATAGGATGTTGCAGAATACACATGATCAATCACAGACCTTTCTCCAGTACATGGCTTTTAATGGGGATGGGACCCTATGGCCCTTCTTTTGGTTTGGACTTGCATGTGCAGCATGTTCATCGTGACGATTTCGTATCGATCTTGCTCTTGTTTCGTAAATTTTCTTACGAGGTACAACACGATCCTATCCTCGAGTTTTATATTAGCTCCATCAATTTCTTGATCGATTAAAATGTTCCATTTCCATCCCGATCAATCATTATTTCATTGTGCTTCTAATCCAGGTTTCTTATTGTAACGGCCCAAGTCTGCCATTAGCAGATAGTGGCCTCTTTGGATTTTCTGTTTCGGGATTTCCCTTAAGGTTTTTAGAACGCGTCTACTAGGAAGAGGTTTCCACACCCTTATAAAAGATGTTTCGTGTTTCGGGCTTCCTTTTAAGGTTTTTAGAACGTGCAACAACAGCTGGTTTCCACACCCAGACTGTTAGGGAGAGATTTCCACACCCACAATCCACCCCCCTTGGGGCCCAACGTCCTTGTTGGCACACCGCCTCGTATCCACCCCCTTCGGGGCTCAGCCTTCTCACTAGCACATCGCCCGATGTTTAGCTTTGATACCATTTGTAACGACTCAAGCCCACCGCTAGCAGATATTGTTCTTTTTGGGTCTTCCCTTTCGGGCTTCCCCTCAAAGTTTTTAAAATATATATGCTAAGAAGAGGTTTCCATACCCTTATGAAAGGTGTTCCATTCTCCTCCCCAACCAATATGGTATCTCACACTTATACTCTAGACCCTCGTTAGTCTTTCAACCATATGAAGTGTATGCATATTGTGGTTTGAGTTGCTGCAGATTACACCCAAACTCCCAACCAGAAAACTAATGTGGCGGCCTGCTGCAGGCTACATCTTCAGCATGCCTATCAAACCGGTCATCTCGACGACGACATCCCACATGAGGCTAACCTCTGCTAGCCAGACTGCCAGAATTGAAATGCTTGTTTCTCGGTTCGTGCAGCAGCTGGCAATCGAGATCGTAAGTCGAGGGTAAGGGGAATATGGTTATGGTTATAACAAAGTAAAAGTAGCAGTTTTCAAGTATCTAGGGGTGATCTGCCTTACTATGTTGTCTTCTTCACAAGAAGACTTGGGGACAAGAGTAACATGGCATTCCATGTGCTAATCACAAGGACTAGTCCCTATCAAACTCTCAAAAGAATATCCCTTTTACTGCTTTGGCTCAGCGAGTCACCGCATTCGGATACGAACCATACACCCATCGTCCCGTTATTTCTAGTTTAACATAGTATTAGAACAAAAGCGAATCCTTGTGATATCAATTCTTTTTTTCATTGATATTGTTCGCCCATGTTTGATGTCGTGAATCGATGCCATGAACCGAACTAATATTCGAATCAGCATGTCAAAAGAAGAGGTTCTTTTTTCATCGATTTAGGTATTTTTACCAACTGTTTGTCCTAAAATGTACAAGAGATTCTCTTTTCTACCTATGAAACTATGGCCATCATTCACGCAATCAAATGTCGATATGATGTTTGAAAAAAGGTTCTAAAGTAGCTTCTAAGAACCTTAAATTGGAAGACTTTGTGTTTTTTCATTAGAGTTGAAGCATTAAAGGCTCTACTCCATGTATTATATACTTGCTAGTCTCGTAAAATTATCAAGTTTTCAACTCAAGAGCTTGAACAAGAAACGTCTCAAGACCTTCTAACAATGAGATTTTCATAATGTGATTGTTTCTTAATAACCGTTAGATGTATATCTGACAATCTGCATGACTTTTCCTAACCATTGGATACACGTTGAAGTACTTTTACGGTTTCTTTCTCCTACATTCCATAGCTTAAAATTATCAAACACATTGTCTTTCTTCCATAAGATTACCAAATCTACCCATCAAACATACAACCACTCCTTGAACTCAAGCTATACAAATCCAACTCGTAACATCCCCTAGGTTAGAATTGTTACCGATATTTATGGTGAGATCCCACGTCGGTTGGAGGGAGAAACGAAACGTTCTTTATAAGAGTGTGGAAACCTCTCCTTAGTAAACACGTTTCAAAAACCTCGAGGAAAAATCCAACAAGAGAAGCTCAAAGAGAACAATATCGTATATACTTCTTTCATTTAGCACTTGACACGTGATTTAGTGACGTATTACTTCACTTCACGAGCCCCGCAAACAAGTAGAAATTTTTGTAGAGAGAGAGATGGAAGAGGGCAGGCTAAGGAGAAAATGAAAGCTTTGGTAATACTGACACTGGGGATTTCTGTCTGACTGTAGCCAATTCTGACTTTGTGGCTGTGGAATTATGAGGACCATACCCATAATAATAATAATAATAATAATACACAAATAAATAATAATAATAATTAATTAATTAATTAATTAATAATTAATAAATAAATAAAGGCATGCTTTTCTGGTACACTTAATTTTATCACCAAACATTGCTCTTCCCTTGTCATTAATACGTGGGACAACACTCCATCACCATTGTCTTTTTTTTTAATTATTTATATTTTTCTTGCATGTAAATGAATTTAATATATATATATATATATATATATATATATACTTATAGGTCTGCTTAAAAAAAAATAATAATGATAATTAATAACTTAATGGGAAGACTTTAATTATTTTAAAAGTATTTCACGAATATGTCGAAGATAAATAGAGACAATTATTATTATTATTATTATTATTTAAGTATTCCTCGATCCTTAGTTCTGTTAAAGGTGAGAGTTTAAATTCACGGTCTCTTAACAAAAGACGGGATACAATATATCAACTACATGTAGTTATTTTAATAGTAAACTCATTTTCGAGTAATTAAATACTAATTTAAAATCCTTTTTCTTTTTTTTTTTTCATAATCAAGCTAAATAATTTATTATTATTATTATTATTATTATTATTATTTGCATTCTAGAATCGTGCCCCACGTATTAAATACACATTAGAAAAAAATAAAAAGATGTATGTATCTAATTAATTAGGTTCAAATTGACAACAAAATTTTGGAAATTAATTACAAAACTATATAATAAAAAAATATATCAAAATAGGAAAAGCACATGGGTTTGTAATTGTAAAATTAAATAATTAAATTTAAAAAATTAAAAAATTAAAAAATTGGAATATTGAGAATCCCACATCGAAACAAACACTAAATTTTAAAAAATTCCAACAGATTTTGTACTCCAAACAGTACACTTCCAATTGTTGCTCTCTTGTTTCAAGTAGACATCCCTAGTGGATCCTTCCTCTTCTTCCTTTATTTCTTTTATTCAAATTATAATATATTTTCAAATTAATTAGGGGTAGTTTTTACGAAAATTTAAACGTAGCTTCACGGCTTTGTTAAATGTGGTGTGTGTAGGTTTAAATAGTAAACGTCAATTACTATTTCAGTAACATTCCATGCCCAAAAATACGAAACTCGAATTGAACACTTGAGTATCATGTTCTACATGGTCACGTTACCTACTTGTCTTAACTGCTTCTAAGAGTGAAGTCTATCATGGACATGGCTACATTACCTACGTGTATCATGTGTGACATGACCACGTTACCTACTTGTCTTAGCTGCTTCTAAGAGTAAAGTCTATCTTGTGGCATGGTCACGTTACCTACGTGTATCTTGTGCGACATGACCACGTTACCTACTTGTCTTAATTACTTCTAAGAGTGAAACCTATCATGCGACATGGTCACGTTACCTACGTGTATCTTGTACGACATGACCATGTTACCTACTTATTCAGTGGCCTCGTTCAATCATTTGAGGTCGGAGTTGTCGTTGGGAAAGCGAACATCCAAAGCAAAGGTAGGCCCATTTGGTCTTTGGCTCCAACCATCTCTCCCTTCCTTCTATCTCTCTTAGGACACATTACCCTACACTCCCATGGCTGTCCTTCACTCCTTTCTTCTTCATAAATACCCCTTTTTATCTCCTCCCAAAAGCCCCAAAGGAGATATCAATTCCCATTCCCATTCCCATTCCCACAAAATGGCCATTAGAAAGGCAAACAAACTCCCACAACCCACAGTCCTCAAACAAATTCTCAAACGCTGCTCAAGCCTTGGCAAAAAGACCAACAATGGCACCTACGACGACAATGATCTCCCCGTCGACGTCCCAAAGGGTCACTTCGCCGTGTACGTCGGTGAAAACCGGAGCCGATTCATCGTCCCGATCTCCTTCTTGACCCACCCAGAGTTCCAATGCCTTCTCCGACAAGCCGAGGAGGAATTCGGGTTCAATCATTACATGGGCCTCACCATCCCTTGCCAAGAACACGTCTTCAGATCCTTAACCTCCTCCATGCTTAGATGACTTATTCTCTGCCGAGAATTTCCATGAACAAGAACAAGATGGCCGAAGATGAGAGATCCAAATCTCTCCTCTTTTTTTTTAAACATCTTTCTTGGATTGATAATCATCAATCTTTTTTCTTTGTTTTGGAAACCCATTAATGGGTTTTTTTTTTTTTTTTAGTTAAGGACTTATCTAACCTAGCTTCCAATCTCCAACCCCTCTCAAATGGGTTGAGAAGAAGAAGAAAACCTCTTTGTAAAAATAGCTCAATGTTTCCCTCATTGAGGTGGATTAAAACGTTACACCCTTTGAGCGGTTTCTCGTTTAATGAAAAATGTACCGACGTTATTATTATTATTGCTCAATGTCTAGCAAAAAAGGGTTAAAATCTTGATTTTTTAACATAATCACGGGACGAATCAAAAGATTTCTTCCTTACTCGGGATGAAAATATACTCACGGGTAACATGTATAGCCGAATGAAACTTAGTTTCTGCATAATTCACGTTCGATTCACGAAGAAGAATCCCATCCCAAACTCGAAGCCACAAAGAGGCACAAGCTCGAGTTTTTCTTAAAACTAGTTATAATCGTGTCAAAAACATGATATCGTATGATTTGATAAGTATGATCGTAAGACTCACACCGTTGATTTGGGATTACATTGGGAATGGAGAGAGAAAGGGTGTGGTTTTTTTTTAATATTGACAGCATGTAAAGAGGTTGGTGAGAGAATGTGTGTACGAAACATTTTTAGACATTAGATTTTCTTAATCTTAAAAAACATATACTGTCGTTTAAGGTTTGTCCTTTTTTCTCTGATTTTCCCGAGAAACAAACAAAATTATCTCTGAATATTACAGCCTTCTAGCACACAGAAATGCAAATAATCCAAACCACTTTCTCTTGTTCTTGTTCTTAATGTTATCAACAATTTGCATGTGAATCTTCAATCTTTAGGGTAACTGATTCCCTTGAAAAGATTCCAAGATTTGGTTAGCTCTTGCTCTCGCTCCCAATGCTAGGTTAGCTAAAAGATGGTTATCGGTTCAAGGACGCAAAGTGTCCCTATTTTTTCAGGGTAAAAAGGGGTAGAGAAAATACCTCGAGTCAATGTTTGAGTACCAGGCGCTACGGTGCAAAAGTAACTCATGTCATATTCCCAGGAAAAGCTCGAACGACCTTCAACAAAAGGGTACATGTACCCAAAACCGACACAAAAGGTTGGTAGAGAATACCTAGGGGCGCGAGACAACTCTCTCTAAGGAACTCGGCAAAATAGCCCCGTAACTTCGGGAGAAGGGGTGCCTCCCATAACAAGGGGTCACAGTGACCAGGCTTGGATGACTGTTTACCAAAAATACAGGTCTCCACAAAGTCATAAGACCATGTATGGGGGATGACACCTGCCCAATGCCAGAAGGTCAAGGAAGTTGGTGATCTGATGAATTAGTTAAAACTTAAGTCAACGATGGCATGGATAACATATACTTAAGCCTATGTCCCGTTCTTGAAAAACAATTTGAGAAAATAGGATAAAACTTCTTTTTGGAAAGCAATGTTATAAGCTAACAAACGATAAGTAACAACAACGATGTTGATAGCATACAGTACAGATACGAAAAATTGACAACTAGTCACCCCCCTGAGACTTCCTTTTCTAGAGTCCTCAAACAACCTCTCTTAATTGAGGTTCGACACCTTCTCCAGAGCCTTTGAACAAAGTACACTCTTTGATGGACACCTAAGTCACTATAGCGACATATTCGAAACTTGCAATTTCTTTATTCGACAAATTATACTAGCATGGCTAAGTTAAAATAAGGGCGTGACTCTAATATCATGTTAGAACAACTAACGTCCAATAATTCTTAACAGTTTCAACGCGATTCTCGATTTTAGAAACTAATTTCAAATTTTATATATAGTTCTGTCGTACCTAACTAAAAACGTTAGTTTCAAAACCTATTTTCTCTCATAGTCGATAAAATCAGCAAACTCGTAAGTCGATTTTCGACTCGGTCTCAAAACTCGAGACTATTTACAAAACTCGACTCGTTGGCGTGTGAAAAGAGATTTCAATTATTATGTTGGTCCAAAAGTGGGTTGTATCTCAAGCACAATTTGGCCAAACACTAACCCTAGAAGTACTTGCAACCTTTTTTTCCTTTAGAGAAAAAGGCATAAGCAAAGCTAGTATTACTTTTTATTAAATAAAATTATTAAAATATTTTTAATTAATTAAATTTTCATTGGTTAATAAATATATTAGAAATATGCAAAGTTAGTTGATTTAATAACGATCTTCATAATTATTTTTAAATAAATGAATTTAATAAAATTATATAAACTTTTTTATTCTTAAAAATGAAATAAGTATATATTTTAACAAACTACCAATGATTTTTAAATGAAAAAAATTAATTAAATTACTTTTGTTAAATTAATACAAATTATTTAATTATATTAAAAATAAAATTATAGATAAAATTAAAAGGAAAGGAAAAATAGACTAATAGAAAACCCGCGTCTTTAGAAGCATAATGAAAACTTTTATCGAGAGGAAAAGATGATATCTGGATAATCCGAAACTGTGAAGTCCCATATTAGTTGGAAAAGAGAACGAAACATTCCTTCTATGGGTGTGGAAAATTTTCACTAACAGAACCGTTTTAGAACCTTGTGGGGAAGTCTGAAAGGAAAAACTTAAAAAGACAATATATGGTAGCGGTGGGTTTGGGCGGCCATTACAAATGGTATCATAGTCAGACACTAAACGGTGTGCTAACGAGGACGTTAGGCCCCAAGGAGGTGGATTATGAGATCCCACATCGTACATCCCTTATATAAGTGTGGAAACGTGTAACGAACTCAATATCTGCTAGCAGAAACTATGTAACGAACTCAAGTTTACTTCATCCATACTCATTTTCTTCCAACAATTTTAAGAGGAAGCCCAGAAGGAAAAGCTCAAAGACGTTTACAGAAACTGTGTAACGAACTCGAGTTTATGCTAGCGGTGGGATTGAGTTGTTATAAAAATTGTGTAACGGACTTGACTTTAGTTTGTCCATACTCACTTTCTTCCAACAAAACCTCTAATCAAACAACTTTTAGCTGTCGAGAAAATCATATAGGTAAATTTAATGTCCTCTAACAACTCGGTTGGTAGCCGTCACGAATATTAACCACGAGACGAATAACTTTAGGGCAATTTTTAAACCAAAGTTTCATTAATATTTAATTGGAAACATTAATTATGGTAAGGTAATACGGAGGGAGTCCTTTGAAGACAAGCTAGAGATGATGGGAGCCAGCACAACCGAACAGTACCTTGTCGTAATAAATATATTTAATTCATTTTCATATTTTTATTAAGTTTTATTTAATTATTGCAAAAAACAAAGTCCTTATCTTTCAATCAATTTCAACAAAAATGACTAAAAAATTAAAAATATCATTGAATTTAAAAAAAATAATAATAATAAATAAATATCATTGTTCATCAACGTTTGATCGTAAGACGTGGATCCGCCAATTTAGAGTATGCATCAATAGACATTAGCAATAATGTTGCTGGTGATATGTTCATTATTAACGTGTTCGTATGTAGGTCACACGACACGCCATTTTAACTAAATTTTGTTTATAGCTTGTCTACTCCACGTCAAAATTTTGTTAATAGGTCAAAGCCTATTTTTTAATAATTGAATTGAAAATTTTCTTATCCATATTTGAAGGCATCTTATTATCAAATATTTTGAACAAAATTTCCGAACCAAACGACTTTTACTATTTAAATCGGATAATTCAAATTGTTTGAGCTATTCAATCATTGGTTAATGGTAACGACCAGAGACCGTTGGATTTGATGTTGTGTTCTTTTTGTTGTTAGTTATTTCTCCCGGAAGGCCCATTGGGCCCATTTATGAACATGGGCCATTTTGAAATAAACTCTTAGAACATGGGCCAATTCATGTTACTTATTTCTCGTGTTTAAAAGTGAATATGGTCCCCACGAACTAATACGAGTCCTTCCAAGATACTCTGTCATCACTCACATGCATCTCAAGAAAATCTCCGGGAGGTCACCCAATATAGACTTGCTCCAAATAAAGCACGTTTAACTATAAAGTTTTTATAATGGAGTTATCGAAAAAGAAGGTGCACCCTGTCTGTATAGGTCGAGTGACTTTCAATTCTTTTAAGCTTTTATTGGTCATTCTAATAACAGGGTCGCTCTCGATGTGGTCTCAATTCATTCATATATCCCTCTTTTATCCAGCGTTCATTCATGTGTATATTTTTATTTTTTTTTTTCTCATAAATGGAATAGTATTAACATGAGAGTTAAATTATAATTTTGAAATATTATAGAATATTTCTCCCTATCTATTTATCCATATGAAAATGACTAAAGATATTAATATGGAATTTCATGTACATAAAAAAAAACATACATTAAAATGTATAAATATATGGTATAAAATATTAGTTTATAGAAAATAATTTTAACCTATGGTCCATCATTTAACGTATGTGTTTTAGTCTATAATATTTAAATGGTGAGATTTCACATCGGTTGAAGAAGAGGGGAATTAAACTATCTTTATAAGGGTGGGGAAACCTCTCCCTAACAAATGTGTTTTAAAAACAGTGATATTGACCTTGATACTTAACGAACCAAAGTGGACAATACCAGTGGTGTGCTAGTGAGGACCTTAGGTCCCAAAAAGGTAGATTGTGAGATCTGAGATCGATGGGAGAACGAACAAAGCATTCCTATTTCAATTGGAATGGAAATATTAATAAAATTTTGAGTTCCAAAAAACTAAATTTCAATCCATAAACATAGTAACTATCAAAATTTCAAACAAATACCGCTCGAATTTGGATTAATTCAAACAAAACGTCATATCTTACATCAATCTATTTTCGACAAACATTTCTTTCACTTTTTTCTTTTTATCCTTTTAACTCTTTTCGAATATTCTTCATTAGTCCATACTTTTTCAATTACATCATATCGATACACCATTATTGTCGATTTTCTAGCTAAGTTAGTTGTTAAAACGAAAACTAAATATAGTTTATTATATGCTTTTCTTGTCGTAGGTTTGGTCGTGATATAAGGCCAAATTAGTGTATGATACATTTGTTTAAAAAGATATAATTATCTAATTTTATATTCTTTATTGCATTTTTTTCACTTTATATTTGATTTAAAATCGAATTTGTATTTAGTGGATGTTTAAAATTAGATAGATTATACATAAATATAAATATATATATATATATATATATATATATATATATATATATATATTAATTTATATATTAATTTATGCATTTTCATGAG